TCTTGATTGGTTATTGGAGCGAGTGAGGGCCTAGAGGAAGACTGCGGATCACGACCTACGAAGAAGACAACGAATAAATAAACACAATAACTTTAAAATGTAATTTATTTTTATATACTTTTCTTTATTTGTTTTAAATATGGAAACCCGCTCGGGAAACGTGTATAAGACCAAGAAAGAGGAAACCAAGGTCGACGACCCTGAAAATCTGCAACTTGGTGCAGCAATATTTACTGTAAATTTAATATTAATTATATTTTGATCAAATCGAATGTGCGTAACAATATACCTTTCACCTGTTATGGTGATATTTAAAAATAAATTGAGAAGGAAATTTCTACAACCTATCTGTCTTTATACAATGAATGTCTAAGTTATCACTTGGAGACATTGGGTAGAATGGTGGGCAAATCACTTTTAGTTAATCAAACACCTCGTAAGGAAATACTAAAACTTAATGTTTTTATTAAAATAGAAACATTAGGCCTCCAGGGAATAGTTTCCTTTTTAAATATTTTTATTTACAAATTTCTCAAGGTTTCGGGTAAGAAAACCCTTCTACGAGAGAAAATATTTTCCATTAAAAAGCCAATAAAATAAGAAAATATTTTCTCCCGTAGAAAGGTTTCTTGTCCGAAAGCTTGAGAAATTTGTGAATAAAATATTTAAAAAAGAAACTTTTCCCTGGAGGCCTAATGTTTCTATTTTAATATTGATTCAAGAGATTGTCTTATAGAATTAATATATTAAAGAGACAAAGGTCGCTTCTCCCGTCAAAATAGACGTCTAAACCAGACGCCATCTATTGACCGTCGCCGCAAACTAGCGGCCTCGGTTCAGTAACAAAGCCACAAAACCAGCTTTGGCAAACTGAGAAGCGTCAGCCTGGGGCCATTAGCCCGATACCATGGTTTCCAGGTGGACGCTTTTCAGTTTGCCAAAGCTGGTGTTGTGGCTTTGTCACCGACCCGAGGTCGCTAGTTTGCGGCGACGGTCAATAGATGGCGTTTGGTTTAGACGTCTATTTTGACGGGAGAAGCGACCTCTTTATATCAATATGCTCCCGGAAAAAGTTGCATCTAAATTAATATTTTAATACATAAATATAGTGATACAAATATTTATCTTAATTAAAATTAAGTCTTATTATATTTTTTCTTTGAATATATTGTGTTTGCTATAAATAAAGAAGTATATTCTTGTAGCAGATACTACATATATTTGTATATTAGCTGTTTTAAATATACTCTAATTGATGTTTGTATTTAGTAAATATAATTAAATAGAAGGTAGTAAAGAAAAAGACTTACCAAAATTAAATTTGAAAAAAATTGTTTAGATGGTGATGGTGTCTTGTCCATGGAGCAGATCAGATCGGTTCGTGAACCCTGATCACAATACCGGCCTACTGAGGTGCCTTGTTCGTATGATTTGTTAAGATAAAATATATATGTGAAAAAAAGTATAAATAATTTATTTTATATGAATTTATTTATGTAAATTTCTTATTGAGCTTTAGAATATTTCTCACTTAGAAAATAGAAATAGTCTAAGTTTTGGATACAAAAATGTTGGACTTCCTTCAAACGAACAATTTGATGACAAAAACCACGGAATTAGTCTCAAAATTAGCTAAAAATATTTATTTTTATTAGTTTTATAATATAAGAATTTTCAATCTGTTGATATTAAAAAGGTATAAGTTGATGTGTAGTTGTCGTGTCCAATGAATAATCTCAGATGTTTCCTTGTATCTCCATCACAACAGTCACAATGTTCTCTATCTTGGTTGTATAAAGCTGCTGCTCTAAGTCCATGCTGATTTTCTGCAAGGCTGCGGCCATTTCTGGACATGAGAATATGTAGGTATGTGTTAGTTCCACACCAGATAAAATTTCCCATGTCCTATAGGTTCTTGTGCCATCTGGATGTATTGTCATTCCTTTGTAGTGTTTCGTTCTGAGTCTTGTTTTTGTAAGTCTTCTCTCATAGTTTATTCCTCATATTTGATCTTTCCTTATCTTTTTAATAGAATAGTTGTTCTTTATATATCGATATTTCAACTTTTTCTCTCTGTTCTTTCATATGATTAAGTTGCACACACATTAAAGCTTTTAAAAAAATAAATTGTCATGTCATCCAGATGCTTACCTTCCTACATTTTCGAATTGGTATTTAGCTGTAGATGTTCAGTATAATAGAGACTACAAGCTTAATATCGCTGAGCAGAACTTGAAGATAAAGGTACGATGTACTCATTTTGTCGCGACTGACTCAAGGATTCTGGCATTTTGTTGCCAAAACTAAGACTTTCGTCCAAGAAGGAGATATCATAGGTGCAATTTTTTCCAATTCCAATTTAGATGACCATCTAACCCAGAGACAGAATTATCAAAAAAATCTACAATAAGAGCCTAGAAGCGAAAAAGTGGGCCGGAGGATGGAAAACCGATTTGTTTTTAATGCAACAGGCAGGACCCATCGCACGCTACTGTAGGGTCAGGTTTGTAAGAATAGTGGAAAAAGATACCATTTTCAGACAGAGGAAAGTCAAGGAAAATATCTAATTGAAAGAGGTAAGACCAAACCTCAGGTCTACGCTGACGCGTGCATACAGACCTAAACATTTCTATACGGAATATACATTCCAACATGAATTGGAAGGTTGGTGCAAGGACAATATCACTATTGGCAGAAGTAACGGAAGCGAAGACCTCTGGACCAGATTCACCATTCAAAAAAATAGACTAACTATTTTACATGGTAATTATCTTTATCTTATTCTCCTTGTAATTGATAATGGGAACTCTTTAGGAAAAGCTAATTAAAAGGATCCTAAAATCATTTGTTGTTGGAATTTGATTCAGAGAAAAATTATAGATACATTAACTAATGCTTTATTCAACACCCGACGTTTAAGTGACCTGCTTTTACTCTCCTCAGGGAAATCATTCCCCTGCAGGTCACTGAAACATCGAGAGTTAAAAATATTTTGCTTGATGTATCAATTTCTCTAATTAACAAGAATGAATGAAAAGAACATAAGTGAGGTACTTATTAAGCAACAATCTGGTGTAACAATTTTCAGCCAAGAATATCATTCATTTGATAACATTGTGGATCGTTTCAAGACCTATTGAGAGCTCTTAGCTTAATACCACGTCACGTAGGTTGCATAGAGAACGCTTCGCTTTAAAACACGTTGATATTAATTATTCCCCTAATTGAGCTCAATGTTCGCATTCTTTATCAAACTTCTTTCTAAATTCCTTTCAATAAAAAAAGAGATTCCACAGTGTGTTCTAATAGAAAAGTTTCACTTTTAATATTCTCAAAAGTGTTGTCACCTCATTTCCATCCCGTACTGAATAGAAACTTTTAATAATTTTCACCTTTTTTAATTATAGCCGAATTTCCATTCAAATATAATTCGCCTCAAGTTTTGGTCGTTCCAAACTCTTCCAGGCCACCGCCGAGTTTCAATATAGTTTTGTGAGTAAAATCTTTTTTTATAACTATTTGTGATAAATTTAACACAATAGAATAAATATTTGTTGTGGAATATTCATTTTTAATTTCTACCATTGTTAGCACGTTTTCTTTGAAGTTTCTTCTAGAAAGAACGAGCTGACTCAATTCGATTCAATTGATTTATTTCAAACAACAAAAGAGAATTACACTACGATTTAATTCGATTTAGTTGTATTTATAACACAAAAGAAAACAGAAGAAGAAAAAAAAAGAATGATGATTAGTAACAATAGAATTCTATGAATATGAATTATAATTAATTAATAAAATACAATAATAATAATAATAATAAAAACCTAACAACCATATAGCTAAATATTTAGTGAGAATCTGCATTTGTGTGTGTGTTTAAAGGTGTTATTAAATTTTAAATTTATAAGAGATTTGTAATGCCCAAAATTGACAAACTATATTTCACATTAATCTTTTGTAAACTCAACTTGACTTAAATTCCGATTAGCCTCTATTGTGCTACAATCAAATATTTACTTCGAATAAAGCAAAAACACTTATTTATTCAAACCATCAAATTATTTTGGTCCAATAATTATATTCCTATTCGCAATGCCGTTTTGAATATTTATTTGATATAAATTATTTATATTCTAGAATATTATATATTTACTTAAAATAAAAAAATATATATAATTGGATATCAAACGATAAATTGTGTTTTTAACTTTTGTTGATAAGATAGCATGTCTCAATTCACACCCTCTGCTAATTTATTCTAGATGTGTTTATATTACGAAAATTAAAACAACCTATCTCTAGAAAGATATTTAAAGAAATACAATTTGAAACAGAAGAGAATAATGGAGTTTACACATTTCAATATAATGAGAATTGGGGAATAAAGCGGCTCCATTATTGACCGTGTTTCCGTTTCGTTGAGAGAGTTAATACTTTTTCACATCAAAATTAAATTAAAATTTGAGTGGAATAGTTGGAGAACAATTGAAGCTTCATCTCTCCGCAAACACAACTCAATTATTAGAGAGAGCTACACGTATTTTCAATTTAAGTGAATTGATTTTATGGTCGGTAAAATGTAATGGAGCGTGTTGGTATCTTCTTGATTTTGAACCAAGTTTATCCTAGATTGATTTTGACTGGAGGCCAAGTAACATGTCTAACCATTAATACATCTCGAATATTCTTATACATATATTATGATATTTTTTGCGGCTCTTACTGTTACATTGAATATTTCTGAGCTGGATGAATTAATAATTTGACTATTGTGGCAATTGGTATGCAGTATAGGAAAAATAAAATAAAAACAGTTTTGATCATATTTTCTTTAATTAAGCCATTGAAAATAATCAAGGAAGAAATATCTATCTTAAGACAAAAGGAATAAGGAAAACAAAAGATTAAATACGTACTTACATAAATACCAAATTTTTGAGCCGGCCAAAGGAAAAATAATACGATAAGGGAAATACAAAAGGGAATACAAAACAAGACGCTCAGAAGGTGGAATCAGACCAATCCGCTTTTAAACGGCTACAGATTTGAAGCCTTCACCACGGACCACCGAAGTTCATCTGGGCAAGGTAGAAACAATAACAATTAGATTGTATAGGGAAAGTCGCGACATCTGGCAGTCGTCTTTACAGAGTAGTTTCATCTAGGAAATATAATTTAAATTGGAATAAAAGTTTTTATATTACATATATATAATTTGTTAAATAAAAACACAAAACCTCCAGGGAAAAGATTCTTTTAAAAATATTTTTTTTATTTGAAAGATATCTCGAGCTTTCGGGCAAGTAAGCCCTTCTACGGGAGAAAATCCTTTACATAATTAATACGCCAATAAAATAAGATTTAAAATTAAATAAAGTCCATTCACTGTTTACATTTATTTCAAGGCATAATCAACGCGGGCTTCTGTTGCGCGTGCTTCACTTGGAGGTTATGGGGTGGGCTCAGGGAATATAATGTCATAAACTTCCGGAATATCTATTCTTCTGTTAACGCTATTGTTATTTCTGGATATGATGGACAGAGACTTTATCCATCATATCCAGAAATAACAATAGCATTAACAGAATTATAGATATTCCGGAAGTTTATAACATTATATTCCCTAAGCCCACCCCATAACCTCCAAGTGAAGCACGCGCAACAGAAGCCATATTTTGGCGTATTGGCGTTTATTGGCGTATTAATCATGTAAAGTATTTTCTCCCGTAGAAGGGCTTACTTGCCCGAAAGCTCGAGATATTTTTTAAATAAAAAATATTTTAAAAATAATATTTTTCCTGGAGGTTTTATGTTTTTATTTAATATTAATTCAAGGGATTATTTTATCGAATATATAATTTGTGTTATTCTAGTATATATATAAACACATATTAGATAATAAAAAGCATATATTGGATTTAATATTTTCTTAAATCCAATATATGCCTTTTTTTATTATCTAATGAATTAAATATGGATTGCTATATTTTCAAAAATATATATATGTTATATTAAAATATTTTATTTAAAATTTCATATAAACGTATTATTCAAAATGTTATATTAAAATATTATTTTATTTTAAATATAATATAATTTCATAGATATAAATACTCTGTTTAAATCGACCGTCAGAGGTCACGCTTACCATATAAAAAAACTCGTTGTTGTTCTTCCCCGTTGGCCGACCCAAAACTTTTGTACATTATATAAATAAGTTTTTCTTTTCTTATACTTACGCCTTAAGCCAGGCAGCACTTTTATCAAATTATGTTTATTATATAATCCTAAACCTCAATTAAAACAATCTCATATCAAAACTATTTTCATTATTTTACTTTTCAAGATTATAGCCACGACTGCATCACCATTACAATAATCCTCAACATGATCCAAAATATCAAGCACAAACACTCAACTTTTTTTAAAAATATAATATATATATAAATTTTATTATGATCATTTTAAACTTTTTTGAACTTCATATCTGCCCCAGATAAAAATCCCTCACCTTTCGCTAAATATCATTTAACCTCGTCAATTATGGAACAAATCACACTTGGCAAAAATATTAAAGAGTAAAGCCCTATTTACAAGGGATCTTTAAGAAATTTCACAACACCAATATCACGAGTCAAATTCAACAACAACCAATAATTTGAAAGCAATAACAAAAATCTTAGTTCTACTCAAAATATACATGGAGACTGTGTTGTAAAAGAGATAATGGTTAAGAATATATACTATGATATATATGCAAATACGAAAGGTTACTTTTATCATAGGGAAGGTTTTGTCTTTACATATTTTTTCTCTCTCGTGGTATATGGAGAGACTATAATTATTAATTTTATTTAAAATCTTATGAATAACATATGCCTATACTGTTTTTAAATGATGGAACAGGTTTCAAGAGATTAATTTCTTTGAATTTTTATTACAATTTTAAGCTTACGAGTTTTACCGTCCTTCTTACTCTCTCAGAAATCTCATAAATTAACAATAATGAAACGTATATTGTTCATTTTTGAAATCCTGTCGAAGGGCAGTATTACCCGAAAGTTTAATATTGAAATAAAAATTTTAAAAAACTCACAAACTCAACAAACCTGTTGCCTTATTTAATTCATATATAGGAGGTTCACATCTCTATTGCCTAGCTATATAATTATTATAAACACACATACACACAAAAAAGGCATTTCCTGACCACTCATATGAACCTTTTATATGGTAGAGCGCCATCACCTGATGTCTACTTTGAACCAATAAAGACCTATTCAAAAACAAAGTTATGAAAATAAGTAACGGTTAACTTTATACGCATCTTCATGTGAAAATATTGGAATAATAACTTCATATTAAAAAGTTATTAACTTTATTTAAGAATTTCTAATGTGTCTTATTTCTAATGCTTAATTAAAATGGGTCAATTTCTATTAAATTGTATTTCGATAAAACTTTTAGAAAGTTAGTAACAATGAGAACAAAAGGTTTTGTTTCGAAAAATACCATTTAAAATAAAAATATTGTTATTAATGAAAAGATTCTATTAAAGAGTGTAAAAATATGTGTTATTTTATTAGAGTGTAGAGGGTTGTTATTAAAGTGTGATATATGTTGTCCTGGATATAATTCAATTTCCAAAAGTATAAATTGGTTGCATAAATTATATACAATAAATAATATATATGTCATGTAATTATATTATTAAAACACTTTAGCTTTATAATGACTAATCCTTTATATCTACAAAAATGAAATACATAATCGGTGTTTGGTATCGCGTTGCGCAAAATCTACAGAATAAATCATTATGAAATTTCGTATGTAGGTAGCTGAAGATTTCGTTTAACATATAGGCTATTAAAAAAAAAACTAGAAAGGTTAATGTGCTTTTTTTAAATATAAAACCAAAAAGCGTTAGTTCCAGCCTTTTACCGCTTGGGCGCAGCACTGGTCGCGACGATAAATGAATTTGATTGGTTAATAATTTTACATGTTGTTTGTTTACATGATGAATGTTAGTTTGTTTACACGATGATTATTTTTAAAAGGTAATATTATATATATATATTCAAACTCTTTGGAGATAATATTAATCTATCGTTATCAAATTTATACGCCCCGGAACCTGTGTGAATTAAAACTGTATTGTGAAATTTCGCACGTAGGTAGCTGAGGTTTTGGTTTAGCATTTAGGCTAAAAGTGCAAAAATTGCATTTGAATAACTTTTTTTTCCTTTTTAGAAGGTAAGATTTTATTGAGTTATTTAGTAATATTTTTCAAATTAAATTAATTGGAAATATTATTTATTTCGCAGCTTATTCATATCTTTTTGTGACGATGCAATTTTTGCTTGGTTTAATTTTAATTAGTGTAAATATAACGATCTATATTTTTTAAGATAAGGTTTACTATTTGATTCTCATAAGGAATATCCCTATTTTAAGACAAATTAAGATTTAGAACAGTATTCTATTTCGTTTTCTTTCATATATTTAGAGTAAGTATACATTTTATTGAAATTGTAAAAAGTATATTTATTGAAAAAAAGTATGTTTTTTCTATAAAACTTGATACATATATTTTACTATATGTTTGTTCCATATAATATGTTTATGCTCTAATAGCATTTATATTGTAAGCAGCAGCTATGCATTTTCAGTAACTGCTTTTTTTTAAGGGTAGGCTCAATTTATTTTTCTTTTTTGCTGTCATTTAGTTAGATACCAAAGCTAGTTTGGTTACTTGCACTCACTGGAGGGGTTGGACCTTTTTAAGAATCAGGGGCCATTGGAGCAATTTTTCAGAACAAAGTGCCCAAAGCTGGATTCGATGATCCCGGGTCGTGGTTTTTAAAAATCAACAGTTTAGACCACTCTTCCATAACAGCACTCTGTTCATTAGATGTGTTCGTGAAATTGATCTTATATTTCAGATTCTTTTTAACAGCATTTTCAATTTTGATATTTGCAGTTTATCTCTATTGTGCTGAAATAAAAAAAAATGTATTACTATAAGTTTTAAAACAGTTGGGGGCTCTATTCATTCATGAGTAAACCCCACTCGAACAATACCCGGGCGAAGCCGGGTCCAGTCAGCTAGTAATATATAAAATTGTGACTTTTATTGCCATATAATATTTTGTTCATAGTACATTTCTTTAAATTTCGTAACCCCTTTTTAATTATCAAAAAATTCAAAACATATAAAAGTAAAGTTATTATTTTTAATCAATACCAATTTTACTTTGTCTTTAACTTTTTAAAAAATATGAATCCACATGAATTTTTAATTTTCAAATATATAACCTTATTGGTATTTATTGATTAATATTTTTCTTCACTTTTCATTTTGATATATTCACTCTCATTGGATAATTTAAAGCAATTTTTAAATGTCTTTCTAAAGGCTCTATTTGTGTGTAGAATAACTAAGACTATGAAATATCGAGACAAATACAAATTTTAAAAAGGTAAAATTATAAAAAAATGTAGATAATAATGCGAAAATGATAGGCTCTAGTCCATTCTCGTGCAAAGGTTTTTCAAAAGTATATACATGTTAGCTGTCATTTGGGAACATGACTGTTATATTACTCGAGTGAAACACGCAATTTTGAAAGGCATCTAATAAAGAGAAACTATTTGAAAAGAGATTTGATATAAATTGTTATGTCCATTGTTGACAAATTCCTTGGAAAAGGTATCAATATACTTCGAGAAAAAGAATTCAACTTTTATTTATTCTGTAAATCCCTATATATTTTTCGCAATATATATATACCTCTAGCGCTATTCCCCTAGGTATAAACAATAATTTTCGGAATAAAACAGGCTCACATAGAATATTCACAATCTCGAAATATTTTATAAGATCTTTAAAAATATCAAAAAGGAATCAATGAAATCGTCTGATATATATAAAGAGGTGTTCAACTGTTTTACTAGCTATGCCAAATCTATGGCCAAGGTAGAATTTTTGCAAGTAGAATATTTTTATCAATAAGCAGAAAGATTCATCTGCCGTCAAAATAAGCACTGAAACTAAGCAATTGACCTTCTCTGAAAACCAGGAACT